CTACCATGTCATCCACATAGACAATGAGTGTTGTAAGCTTTCCATTCCGACGTTTTAAGAACAGCGTGTGATCACAATTACTTTGCTTATATCCAAATGCTTTCATAGACTTGGTAAATCTACCGAACCATGCTCTTAGGGACTATTTCAACCTATACAATGATTTTTGAAGCCTGCACACCTTTTGTCTATGCATATCTGGAACGTTACTCCCTGGTGGGAGTTCCATGTAAATCTCTTATGTCAAATCCCCATACAAGAAGGCATTCTTCACGTCGAGCTGCTGTAATGGCCAATTAAGATTTGCAGCCAAGGATAACAAAACACAGACTGTATTGATCTTGGCCATAAAGGCAAATGTATGTGTATAGTCAATTCCATATTTTTTAGTATATCTTTTTGCTAGTAGTCTTGCCTTAAAGCGATCCACCGTCTTGTCAGCTTTGTACTTCATTGTATAGACACATTTGCATCCCACAAGTTTCTTGCCAGCTAGAAGTTTGTAATCTCCCAGGTAGCATTCTTCTTCAAAGACTTCAACATTTCATTCATTGCTGCTTGCCAACGTGGATCAGCAAAAGCCTCATGCACACTGTTAGGAATAGATACAGTAGATAATTGATGCACAAATGACTTATTTGATTCTGATAGGTGATTGGTAGACACATAATTACTTAATAGGTATAGCACATTAGACTCAGGGTTGGGCTTACTCACCGAATACCTAGTTTTGCATTTAGTGTCAGCTTCATAAGTAAGTTTAGGAATACCTCGGTTGACATGATGAAGGAGACGACATGGTGGTGGTGCATCTGAGATCAAAGATGATTAATTATGGTTATTGGGACTTAAGGTCAACTGTGAGGTAGTTGGTGACACATGACTATCTGGTAGTGAGGAAACTGGCAGTGAGCTATCAGGCAGTGAGTTATCTGGCGATGTCGACTCGTCCCTTTCAAGATTTTCAACATTGCATGTGAATGATCACCATTTGTTTCCAAGACATTACCACTCAGTTCCAATTCATTCACATCATTGTTTGTGTGTGAATGATCACCACTTATTTCCAAGACATCACCACTTAAATCCAAATCATTCACATTATCTATATTTGGTAATCAAGAGTTTGAACTTTTGTCTAAATCTCCCCCTGAAGTGCAGACTCGAGATTGGCAAAGTACATATCATTCTCATGAAACGCAACATCCATAGTGAAACAATTTTTTCGTCGAATGGTGATAACAACGATACCTTTTTTTAATTGAGGCATACCCCACAAACACACATCGTAAGGCCCAAGGTTCAAGCTTACCTCTCAGTTGTTATGAAGATGAACGAAAACCACATAGCCAAACACGTGAGGTGAAAGATTAGGAACTGTAGGAGCATCAACATATAAAGAAAGAGTTAAAGTTGACTAACCGAGATGGAACACGATTCATGAGATACGCAGCTAAGGTGAAAGCTTCTCCCCAAAAGGATAACAGGAGACACGCCTCGAGCAAAGAAGCACGAACAACCTCTAGAAGCTGACGATTCTTGTGTTATGCAACACCATTTTGTTATGGAGTATATGGACATGTAGTCTGATGAACAATACCATAATGATCAAGAAAGGCACAAAGTTCAGAGTTTGCATATTAGCCATCATTATCACTCCTGAGAATTTGTATTTGTGACTTATATTCTACTTGTACCATTTTGTAAAACTGCTGAAACAAAGAAGTAACTTCATTTTTGGATTTCATCAAACAAACCCAATTCATATGTGTGTAGTCATCAATAAAAGTAACAAACCAATGAGCACCACCAAGTGTAGCAGTATTAGATGGTCCCCAAACATCAGAATGAATTATCATAAATGGGATTGAACTTTTATTCAAACTAGGCGGAAACGAAGTATGATGACTTTTAGCCATTTCACAAACACCACATTTAAAGTTATAAATATCATGCTTAACAAATAGGCTAGGAAACAATCTCTGCAGATAGCCCAATGCCACAACCAAATCTCCGAAGCTTTATTCATATCCCCCTGATTTTCTTCCACTGCAAGAGCTTGAGTCAACAGTCGGGAACTGTTCGATGTCAGCTCCAAGTAGTAAAGCTTTCCCTTCCTAATACCATAACCAATCATCTTGCGAGTACGAATATCCTTAAAAATACAAAAAGAATGACAAAAAATCACAAGACAAGGCATGGTGATAGTTATTTGAGCAACAAATAATAAATTATAGTCAAGAGAAGAAACAACGAGTACACAATCAAGATTCAGGGTATCAGAAAGTGAGACATCGCCTTCGCCAATAATTGGGGCAACATTACCATTGGCAACACTAACGATAATTTTAGTGGATGGTTTTAGGGTTTGTACCTGTCTAGAATCACAAATCATATGTTCAGTAGCACCATAATCAATTATCCATGTATTATTCGTAACAGATGTAGAAACATTTAAAGCCTTACCATTTTTACCTATATGATCAGAAGTTACCTTAACTTCAGCAATCAATGCATGCGACTTGTCATAACGGGGGTCACAAGTCTTGTCCCAATTATCAAGATAACCAATAAGCTTGAAACATCGATTTTTCGAATGTCCTTCCAAACCGCAGTGAGAACATTTGCTAGATGGACGATAAGAAGAATGTCCAAGAATTTTGGATTGGTTACTATTGATTCGACGAGTTCGGCCTACCATTGCTCTCGGTACAAAGTAAGTGATGGATAAAAGCTCAATCTCCAAATATACTTGGCCCAAGCACAGTCGCAATCAGTATGGGCAAAAAAAGATTAAAAAATGCCTAACACCACTAGTTTTTTTCTCTTCCATTTTGATTCTCCTTGGTTCAAGACTCTAGTGAGGAAAATAGCAGTAGTTCAAAACAGATTGAAGTAGCGGTGATGGTTGGTTCTTCGTGGCTGATAGAAGTCACAGAAGATGCGAGTACATATCAAAGCTCAGGATTGCAGCAGTGCAGATGCAGGTCAGGGTTCGATGTGGCTTCGCGGTTCACATAGCAATTCCAGTGGGTCGAGATCTGCATTTGTTCGTGGTTCATCGGACCTCGAGTCGGGTACGGCGCAGCGGCACAAGTCGTTTGGGCTGTAATCAGTGCAATCCTTCACGGCTTCTAATCAAATTAGAAGCAAACAGACCAACTAGTCTGCCGTGTCACACAACGAAGAGTGAAATGATTCGACAAATTCAGGTTAGCAACGAAGGTGTCGCTTGTTGTTCGTTCTGAATTCAGAAAGGGTAGCAACGACAATAGTCGCTCACTGATCGAGCGATAGTAACACCAATAATTGCTCGCTAATCAAGGTCGTCGCACCAAACACGGTTGAGCCACGACAATGCTATCGTAACTAGGGGTTTTTTCCTTTTTTTTTTTTTTTTTGACCTGGCTCTGGTGCTAAGAAGAGAATGCTTAGAATGATATGTTTATTCTTCTCAAGAAAATGTATAATATACAATCTTAATCCTAACCAAATGGGGAAGAAAAATTACAGGAGATTACAAAGAGATTTCTCCCATATTACACGGGATCCATCCTAAACTAGGAAATCCTAAATTACAGGAAACTATACAAGTCAACAGATGTGACCTTAAGGCAACAGCAAGTGAACGGCGTAGAAAATGGATTATTTAGGCAGTGGCAAAGCGTAATACATGGCTGGGATTCTTTGTCGATATACTTGGTTAGGCATTAAAAAGAAGTTTGTTGTAACTAAAGTTGATCGAGTGTATCCGGAGTATTATTAGAAAAGGGCCACATTTGGATTCTTTAGATATAGACCCTTGCAACTCTTATTTCTTATGTAAAAACTCATCTAATTATAAACATTCAAATAAACCCCAAATTTAAAAGTGATTGCCATGTAGGAAAGTAATTGAACTATTAATACAAAATATTTACAACTTGTACCACAATATTCAAAATAAATCAATAAATATTATTACTCGCCTTAATTACAATGAATAAATAATTTATTGCAGATTATTACCCCTAACACACACACATATATATATACATATATACATTCAAACGTATATGATACTACCATAAGCTATATATAGATAGATAGATAGATAGTTTACCTACATATATAGTACTACTATACGTTCAAATATATGCACAATACTACATATATGATCAAACATATTATACTAATTAATCTACCTATATGTAAATTTATGATGAGCAAATAACATATATTTTGTAGGTATCATCATATATATTGGGCACATTTTATTATTATGTGTACAAAAGAATAGGTAAAATAGTATTGAATAAAATAATAACATTTTTTATGTAGGTACATTAGTTTGCATGTATTTTTCATACATTGGGTTTACTTTATTATGTAGGTAAATTATTTTGTATGTATTTTACATATAATTGGGAAATTATTTTGCTTTTTTTTTAAGCAATCTAACATTTTAAAATTTGAATAATAGGTGCACTGAATCAAATAACATTTTTTGTAGGTAAATTATTTTGCATGAATTTTTACGTATACTAGGCATGTTTTTTTTTTTTTTGGTTATATATATGTGTGTGAAATAATTTACCTACATTTATATGTAAAATATAGTTTGTTGACTTAACTAAGCATGTATTATTACATATATTAGGCATGTTTTGTTGTTATTATATATTAGGCAATAAATTTATTATTTTTCGTAAAATCATTAATTCTCTCTGACAATCTATATGGAACTAATTGTGTACATCAAACATTTAGATAGGGGTGTTTTGGGCATAAAAAAATTTTAAATGTGTAAAGTCAAATATAATTAATGAATTTGCTGATGTGGAATTTAGTTAATGGGTTTTATTTGAGTAAAAAACTTATGACGGATTTTTTGTGAAGAAAATTTAATTTCAGGGGCTAAAGTCATATTTTCGGTAGAAATTAAAATATTATACGTACATACGGTTTGTTGTTTAATGCGCGATTAGAGTAGTAAAATAATTAATTAAGGAGACACAACATAACCTTTAAAATTTGCATTAATTGGATAAGAAAAAATTGCATTTGATCACATGCAGAGAGCTTATTCTCCAAGCTAAAGTAATGTATACCTTTGCTTGATTTAGTTTTAATGAAATGAAGCCATGTCAAAGAAAAGGCATGCAGAGAGCGTGCACTATGAAGCTACTTCCTATAACTAATGAAGAACCCCTCAGCCTTAAACTAATAAACTGGCAGGCAGAGGAATAAGAGGGTAAAGATGGTTCAAGCATCAGCCTTGCCCTTGGGATCATCTTCGACCTCATCCATATATTGCTTCCAGAACCAGTGTTTCTTCCAGACTCTTTCAGTCATCTCTTCAATGGGTATTCCCTTGGTCTCCGGAATTAAAAAGATTACAAAGATTGTCATGACGAAGACCCAAGCTGCAAAGAACAAGAAAATGGCAAATTTCATGTGGCAAAGAATCGATAGGAAGGCCTGCGCTATAATAAATGTGAACAGCATGTTGAAAAAAACAGCCACACTCTGGCCAGCTGAACGAGCCTCTAGTGGGAAAATCTCACTAGGGATCAACCACCCAAGAGGTCCCCAAGACCATGCAAAGGAGGCAACAAAACTGCACACAAAAACCAGCACAAGGATTCCTAATCCATGTCCAAGGTTGTTAACATCGTCCTTAACTTTGAGTCCCAGCACAATTGTAATCACCACTTGAGAAAGAAACATTTGGACACCTGCTTCTAGCAGGAGTACACGGCGGCCAGCTCTGTCCACAAAGTAGATTGATACAATGGTTGAAAGGACGTTGACGGCTCCTGTTATTGCAGATGAGTAAAGGGAAGCATCGGTTTTGAATCCCAAGGTGCTGAACAAAACAGGAGCATAGAACATGACTGCATTAATGCCAGTGCATTGCTGAAAAATCTGTACATACGTAGAAACATGTCAGACTATATGATATACATTACTAGTAAGGCTCCAAATTATGATATACTTATGTAGATATAACTAGCTAACTCTCACATAGGCACCTGCATGCAAATTGAAATGACCAACTGAGGCCTGTTCCTACGCTTCATGAGATTTTTTAAGGGACTTTTCACTTCTTGAGCCACACGACTTGCCTCAACAATTTCTAAAAACTCTGGTTCGACATTGTCCACACCCCGAATCCTTTTAAGAATTGCTTTTCCTTCCTCTAACTTACCACGAGCAATCAAACTGTTCGGAGTGTCTACCACAATTAGAGAGCCCACAGTTAGCAAGATGGCCGGCACACCAGCCAAACCTAGTGATATCCTCCATCCATAGTTCCCTTTAATTCTGCAACACAAATGATTTAAATAAACATTATGATTAGTAAGTACTTGGAATTATGTGCGCGCGCTATATTTAATAATAACTTGGGTGAAGTTGGGAGCTGGCTTAATTACTTGGCAGTTCCATAATTGATCATGTTTGCTACAAGAATGCCAATAGTGCACATGAGTTGGAAGAGTATGTTAAGTGCCCCACGAATTCTTGTGGGTGCAATCTCTGAAAGGAAAAGTGGCACCGCCTGTATCATATATATATATAACTTAATTAGTTAGATAGAAAATATTTACTGATTAACATATATAGTTAATATCATTAATATAATTTAGAGGTTTGGTAATGCTAGGGTGACTAAATCTCTAAACTAAATTTTGTAAACTAAATGATGTGGTTGTTGATAATTGGATTATAGCTTGAGTGTTTTAACATGCTTATTTCCTATTAGTGACACATCATCTAGTTCGCAAATTTAGTTTAAAAATTTAGTCTCTCTAGCATTATTTAGAGTTTGCTATTTGAACCTGGTTAGCAAAACCAACTCCACAACCAAGTAAGATCCTTCCAATGATAAGCATGGCAAGGTTCTGGGCAGCAAAATTAAAAACTGTTCCGATCAGAAAGAAAATGCCAGCCATCAACATGGTTAACTTTCGACCTAGCGATTTGGTAGTGTGCATGGCGACGAAGGTTGCTACCAAAGCAGCGAGGTACAGTGAAGACGTGAATAACTGCAAGCCTTGATTATCGTATTTACAATAATTGCTTTCACGTCCAGGATGTTGATTCTTCCTATACACGCCTGGGAAGAATTCCCTCAGAAACTCTGGCATCGATGTAACACCCCCTGCATTTGCATATATTTGTTCGTCGGACAAGCCATATATAATATAAATGAAGTAATACTCACGTTCACCTAGCTAATATAATTCTTGATTAATTGAGCTTTATTTTGTAAAACCGAATGTAATAAATGCATGCATTACCTAGGGGCTTATCTGGCACAAACCCCTTGTTTTTGTAAGAATTGAATCACTTCTTTTCATAAGCATTTTTTTTAGAAATGCTTGCCTAAGTGCTTTTTGCCAAGCAGTTTTAAGTTTTTCCACCAAACGCAATAAAAACATTCTTGGTTGTCAAAAAGTGTTGTTAACCCTACCAAAATTTCAAAAGTAACCCCAAACAGGCCCTGTCTAGATCGAGTTGCATGGCATGCATGAACTAGTGGCACGTTACTACGAGGTACGTACCAGAAATACCAACATCATAACCAAACATGAGGCCTCCGGTAGAGGCCAATATACAAGAAATGATCACAAGAGGAGTGATCTTTGCCTCAAAGTCTCCGCCTCCTCCTGCGGCCCCAAATCCACCACCTGCCATTGCTTCTGCTTTCTTTGTTTCTTTTTCTTTTTTTCACTACTGATCTTACTTTGATACACGTTAGTTAATCGTAGTATCTAATTAATTACATACATAAAAGTGTGTGGACATATATTTATATATATAAATATATATATATAGAAGACCTGAATTCAACTAAAGAAGAAGACTAACTCGGTGAAATCAGGTGTCCTTGAGAGGCTTTATATACCCGAAGACCTCAAGACCTGAAAGCGACAGAGAGTGAACCACGTATAAAATGGATGACTGTCATGACTTAGTAAGTTGCATGGACGGGACCTTTCCACATGGCGTCAACTCTGATCTACTCTTCCTTCTTGTTGCTTTGCTTAGTCTTACTCATGACCAAGATATATTTAGACAGCCCAAAATTAGATCCTCATTCAGCTAGAACTATTCTCGTTTTCTGATTTAATATTAGCTAAATATAGGCAATCTAAATTTCCATTTTACTAAGTTTATCAGTGATTGAAGTTATATAATCAGTGTTGCTTTTCTAAATGTAGGCATTCTTAATTACCCTTTTATTTTAAGACTTCTCTATTTATAAGAAAAATGTTTTGTTTTAACGATACTAGCTAGTTAATTAAGATTTGTATGTTTTGACATATAAAATAATTTGTAATAAGTAAATATATTAGTTAATAAAGATTTTTATGTTTAAACTATTTTTAATTAAGATTTAATTATATATACGTTTTATTGATGTATATTAATAGTATTAATATCTTTGTAAGAGTAAGAGAATTGTTGACAAAACAGAGGTTGAGCAGATATATGTTATCGGTATTTGAAGAAAGTTCAGTAGCTCCTCGGATCCGAAGAGATCTGGTGCCAATGAACTCCTAGCAGCCAAATTAGCTTTTATAGAGTAGTTGCATTGGCACAATTACGAACAAATTAAAGGGTGGAGGCCTGAAGAAGACTGTAAATACAAATTTTCTGTGACAAATGAATAAGAACACGTGTATAAAATAATGTTTGTATTAATGTAAAATTTAGGAGTCTCATTTCTGAGTACAAAATTTAAATCCTTTGATTCGATCTCTAGGGTTGCAAAGTATATGTGTAGAGTGATTAATCTGAGGATTGTAGTGACTTGATCTCGAACCAACAAATGCCGCAAGAGTTTGGCTCAAGGCGGTGGAGGAACTGACATATGTAGAGGTGCTTGATCGTTCTTCACAAGTATTGTGAACAATGCAAAGAGCTTTCTAAGTCTTCTGAGTGTGTAAAGTGTTTGGGAGTTTGAGCGTCTGATTGTGAGGATGTTTGTCTGAGAGAGAGATGTTCTTTCTTTGTCTTAGAGCCTCGTATTTTTAGGCTCTCCAAGTCTTGAGTGAGACTTGATTTGGTCTTTATTATAGACTTGATTAATTGACGAAAGAGCCAAGACTTGATTTGGGCTTGGTTCGTCATTGAGTTCATCAATAATCTTTCATTTATATCAAATAAAGCACACAGTTCATCATTATTTGGCCAATCTTCCCCGATTTGGCTTTTTCATTTGTTTTAAATTTAAATCAATTATTATTCAAAAAAAAAAATTAAATAATTGATAAAGATAATTCCTTAATTACTTTCCTCCAAATGTCAACGCGTGTTATTCTTGATGACTTGTTCGGTTTTAATGAGTCATGTGCCATGTGTACGATTTGTGAGAGACACGGCGCATGCCACATAAGCTTTGGCATATCGAAATTTTAATGTGTTGGTGAGTATTTATTTCACCAAAATTTACATGTCTACAAAGACATAGTTGTTTGGATTCCAACTCAGATAAATGGGATCTCGTGAACTTAGAATGGGACTGAGTTTGTCTGATGTGTTAAGGGCCGGAAAGAGGAGATTGTTTTAGAATTAATGACTATGTAGGCAATGGAGTATAAAGGGCAATATTGTAACTACACTATCTAGAGATATTACTTAGTGGTTAAGATATTTTTAGTTAGTTATATTTTAGATATCTTAGTGGTTACAATATAATTGTATATATATATACTCAAAGTGTAAAATTATTCTTCATGAAATGAAAATATAATTTTCCTATTATGGTATGATCCGCCTAACTGTCTCACGACTCTCTCTCTTCTTCGATCCCCAAACATCGCGTTTTTCTCTACGACTTCCTTCTTCTCAGATCGATTCTTGATCGATCTCTGCATCTCTATCTGTTAATGGTGACCTCTGCATCTCCTTCGTCGAAATCGGATTCTCAAGTTCATCCTCTTCCGACTGCACCTCCAAACCCTAATTCTTCGATCCCCTCCTCAATTACAATCCAAAAATTGGATCCATGGTGCCAATCAAACTCAACACCACCAATTATATGACCTGGAGTGCTCTATTTGCTCCAATTTTCCGTCGGTACAATTTGACTGGCCTGATTGATGGATCCATGGCTGCACCGCCTCAGTTCTGTTTTGATTCTTCAGGAAATCGCATCCTCAATCCCTCATATGTTGCTTGGTATGAGAATGATCAGAATATTATCATCTAGATCAACTCTACACTCTCTGAATCTCTCATTCCTTACACTGTCGGTGTGAATTCAGCTCGTGAACTTTGGACGAAATTGGAATCAAGGCTTGCCACAGCCTCTCAATCTCACATTCATGAGCTTCAATCTCACCTTCGTAATCTTACCAAAGGTGAATCTACTGCTACTTAATACCTTCAACAAATTGAGGCCATCCCTTATGCCTTTGTTAAAGCCGATTCTCTGGTTAACGACTCATATTTGATTTCGGTTACTCTTCGTTACTCTTCGTGATCTTCCTCCTGAGTATGATTCGTTTGTTGATGCCATTCAATTTCGCCTCAACTGATGAACTTCATGGTCTACTCCTTAGCAAACAGATACAGTTGACAAATCGCAAGAAAAGTTCCTCTGAATCATCATCATTTCAGGCTTTAAATACCTCTGCTAATATTCTTCCATTTCCTGCATCAAATCCTACCTCTCAAGTATTTGTTGCTCAGGCTTACATTTACCAATGAAGGTCGTGGAATGGGTATAATCACAATCGTGGAAACTTTAATCGAGGAAAATCCAGATTCTTTAATAATCAGAGGTCCAGCAATTACAATCGCTCAAACAACAATAATCAGCATTATAATCGTGGAGGTCGAAATATCTTTTCTTCCTACAACAAGAAGAACTCCTACCAGATGTGTCATTAGTTTGATCATGAGGCTTGTGATTGTCCTCATCGCATGAATCTGGCTTATGGTGGGAAATCTTTTTATTCAACAATGGTTGCAAACACATCATCTTCCATTCCTACTTGGATTGTGGATTCAGGAGCCACCTTCCACGTGACCAACTTTTATGCTACTCTGCAAAACCCTGAAGCATACACTGGTCTAGAACAAGTTTGCCCAACACTTACTCTAGCTTTACTGTTTTGAATACTTCTACTAGTGCCTTTAATCTGAATAAAGTCTTATATGTTCCTAATTTGAAACACAATCTACTATATGCAAATCAATTCCTGATTGATAATCACTATTATTTGCATCTTTATCCTTCTCACTTCATAATGAATGATCTTTCTTCAGGGATGATGCGCTTTAAAGGACCAGTTAAGCATGGTTTCTATCCATTCCTTTTCTCATCATAAACACATGGTTCTTCTAAAGCACTTACTGCATCTATGAAAGCCTGAAGAGATCTCTGGCACAATTGATTGGGTCATCCTTCTGTTAAGATTGTCAATACAATATCATCTCAATCTTGTATTTCAATTTCAATCAATGCTACTAAGTCTTTTTGCTTAGATTATGCTCTAGTTAAATGTTCTAGGCTTTCTTTTGTCTCTACACTTTGTACAACCAGCAAACCTTTAGAACTCATTCATACAGATGTCTGGGGTCCTTCACCCACAACCTCTACTTAAGGTTTCAAGTACTATGTCATCTTTGTGGATGACTATACAAGATATTGCTAGTTCTATCCATTGAAATACAAGTCTGATGTATTGTCCACTTTTATTCAATACAAATCTATGGTTGAAAATTCTTTGTGCACAAAGATTATTACCTTAAGGTCTGACTTTGGTAGAGAATACCTGTGTTTGTACCATACTTTACCAATCCTGAAACCACTGAGCACCGGTCAACGTTATACCGTCAAGGACCCAGAAGAGTTTCCTTCCAACCAGAAGGCCAATCACAGCGCGACATGTGTCGACATCAGAAGCCAATCACATCACGACATGTGTCAATGTCAGAATGAAACTAGAAATCTTTTATAAATAGATATCATTCTTTCACAATATTTCCTAATGTTATTTGTACTAAATTATTCACTAGTACTCACAAAAGGAGAGCTTGAACCTATGTACTTGTGTAAACCATTCACAATTAATGAGAACTTCTCTACTCCGTGGACGTAGTCAATCTAGGTGAACCACGTACATCTTGTGTTTGTTTCTCTGTCTCTATCCATTTACATACTTATCCACACTAGTGACCGGAACAATCTACCGAAGGTCACAAACTTAACATTTTCTGTTGTACCAAAGTCCTCACTTATTTTGTGCATCAACATTTGGCGCCGTCTGTAGGAAACGACACAAAAAGCTATGTTGGTTCCCTCTCAATTTTTCATCTCACCACCGTGAAACCTTCATAACCTCACCACTGTCCACCGTGGATCTGCAAAACCCAGGAACCCAAAGCTTTCCCAGAGAACACATACACGCTTTCTCTCTCGGTCTCTCCTCCTATCTATCTCCCTTTTTCTTTCCACAAAGCCCTCGTGTCTCTCTCTCCTCCCATAATTCTAAAATCAGAACCAGAACCAGAAGAAAGCCCAACATTACTAGTTGCACCCTACTCCCGTATTTCTCCATCTGGATCTGCTTCTTTCTCATCTGGGTTTTCTTCTTCAAGCTTCCTCTACATTAGCGCAGTCAAGCCAACCAACGCCGTCATCAATACCATCTTCCCCACTGCCTTCTCCAAAGAGAAGTTCGAGCGGGTCAAGTCCAGGATTCCTCAGTCAACTCTGAGAGGAAATGGGAGCTGGTCTGGCAACGGAAGCCTCGACGGGCCCGTCTTCCTAGGTGCATTCATCACCAGCAGTGACGACCTTCACCTGACATTGGGGATTTCGGATGGAGGTGGTGAGTCATGACGGTGGTCGC